AAGCCTCTCCGCAAGGCAGCGGGGTGGCAGTGATTTAGTTTTACAGAAATGGACGCCATCCCATTTCAAACCCCCAACCTGGAGGACAAGGAGACTGAGTTTGTCTGACCTCTCACCATTGACCAACCTGGTAGGAGTAGCTCTCAAGATGCTCGGAGGCATCACCCAGTATAGCTCAATGGGTCAATGAGGTACGCAAACCGTCGCACCACGTTAAGGCACAGTCTCGTTGCGACGGTACCACCCGATAACCCAATGGGAAACTGAAAAGCTGGAGAAAATACAGCATATCGCAACTAGAATGATACCAAGTCTACGAAAGCTTCCGCATAGAAAAACGTTGTGAAAGGCTCGGACTCTACACACTATCCTATCGCCGAGTAAGAATTGATCTTATTATGACCCATCGAGTACTACACTTGAATCACTTCCCCATACTGCGGCCAATATTTCACCTGCGAGAACCATGTAACACCCGAGGACATCGTTACAAACTCAGGGTCCCCAGCATGAACAAAGTATCACATCAGCTTTGTATCGAACGAAGAATCGTAAACTTATGGAATACACTACCTGAAGGATTAATAGAGGCCGATTCTGTGAAGTGTTTTACAACCCGTATCGACGATTATTTTGGAAACCTGTGCTTTTGTGAAACGATGCACATACAGTGCCAAAAGAATACATTGTATGTCCGGAAATAATGATGCAAGTACAAATTTCTAACCGAACACGGATAAACGATTAACGGACCAGACACAACTGCTGATAATTCACAAGTAAATTTTGATATTTCGTGATTCGATAGAGTTGTACAGAAACCTTTCTACTTGCTCTTAAATACAGCCTCAGTCTCAGTCTCTAATCGGAGCAATCGATACGAGAACCCCAAAGGTGTACATTGTGCAGTCCGCGGCCAAGTGGTTAAAACCACGAATGCGAGTAAAAGAGGAAGCAAGACAGTTAGTTAATCATTAAAATCAAGGCAAAAAGACGAGCTGAGCATAAGAATGTAGTATCCAACCAAATTACCTTAGGTGTTCCGGACGATCTGAGCAACCTATGTAGCAGTTTTGGCAATAAGCGCGAAGAAACAGAGGCGTCGCCTGTTTCGGTCGGATGATCAGATGGTTGTTCCACAGAGGAGTGAGGACAAAGAGGTAGAAACAATCCGCCATAAGACTTGATCTGATGGGATGTTGACGCGGGTGATGATGATGATGAAGAGATAGTGGCCTCCGAATGAACCAATTCGAGAAGTGGGCCAAACACATCTGTGTCGTAAGTGGAGGTAACACCCTGAAAGCATAAACGAGTGAAATCGGAAGCAAGCACCGTTCGCAAGAAAATCTAATACAAAAAGTGGGGCAGCTTCCGAAGGCAATGAGAGTGTGCACAGAAGCTTGTGATGGATGATGTTGAGCACATTTAAACGAATTGTGTAATGGAGATGGGGTAGCCCATTGGGTTTTTCGCCACATAAGCAAGCAAGGATCGACCCCATCACGACTGGGGGTGCGCTAAGCTTTATCTCAGTGAGAGTGGAGATAACTGTAGAGCGGCACATAGACGACCATTACACAACGTGTAGTAATGTACGTCCTGTAAAATGTTCCGATAAAGGTAAATAGGAGTACCAGACTAAAAATGACAATTACAGCTTGAAGAACACCTACTAATCGCGAGAAATGAGTGGAATTCGAAAAGGGCGGTGTGAATTCTGTGAGCATAAGAAGAACACAAGTTGATGAGGCTAACTGTGATGCTTGGATAGCTTGAAGAAAAAAACATGATCAAACACTGAACAGGTGCTCCTGGTGGCAGCGATTTACACCTAAGACAGTTGACCCAGTGGGATGCGTATCAATAGGGGATCGAGTTTCATGGTAACCAAGAAATACAACCGGAACCTACCTGCATGACACAGCATAATCTCTCCAGCCCCATCCCAGTGTCCACAAAAGGTTTCGACAGAGGTTCGAGTAGCTCCGCTTTGAATGACTCGTCCTCTGACGGACGTAGGCGGTGAGTGATGAATACAGAATTCCACAACTCCATAACCTGAGGACTGGCTGTGTTGATGAGACATCGAGCACACTGTAACACTTCCTGGCCATTCAGAGCGCGGAAATCGACATGAATTTCGGTGCATGGACCGCATAAACCGGCCCCGCTGAGGCTCCCAGCACGCCAAAAGTTGTGCTCCATGCCGAAAGGCAGGAGCTTTTGGTCTAAAACCCTGAGAAAGGAGTAGATTAAGGAATTGAAATGCGCAACCGGTGAATGTAGGACATAAAAGATACTGAACTTGCGCGGTTCTGTTTCAGATGATAGAGAAAACATACGAGCAAAAGTATGCGGCCAGAGCTAACAATCAGACCGGATAGTGACCACTTTTGTATGCGACCGGCGATTCAGTGGTTAGCTTTGCCGTTTCCATAGAAACTTTGTGTTGTCCGTGTTGGTACACAGAAATATGTTGCACATTACGTGAAAAGTCTTGGACATATAAAGATAGGTAGCAACGACCAGTCGATCGGGTGCGGTTAGCACAGACACTGGTGAATGTGCTCGCAGGCCACACAAAATTACGAGACGGATGAGGGTTGAGAAGCATGAAGTGTCCAAGACACGTCGTAGATAAATGCATCAATAGTTTCCACGCAAAAAGCATGGACCGAGGGCCAAAGCCAACGAAAATAGATGCATTTTCGGCAAAAAGAACAGTAATAAGGATATACAGGCGGAAGGCATGCGGGTGGAGAGGTGGTAGAATATTGCTGTAGTCCCTAGTGAGGTACCAAACGGCAACCAATAGCATCTTACACGATTCCAAAGTTGGTGGATAAAGTCAAGCGCATCAGGTGAAGTGAAACGCCAATCAGACATTGCTCTGATCTGACGGGAACAAGCAAGTTCACAGCAAAGCTGACAGAGAACTGAAGAGGTGGTGTATGGCTCCGATGTAGCTATGTAACAATCATAGGTGCTTGAGACCAATTAGAGTATGAAACTCGTTAGACCCAAACCTACGGATGGCTGCTTCATAGAGCCCAGAAGCGTAGTTGATGTGTAGACCACAGGATCACTGTCGGTAGTTAGTATGATGCGTAATTGGAAATAGCATAGTAATAGTAATGGACTAAGCGTGTGTAGGTTAAACAGCACATGAATTGAAGATATGGACAATATATGTCCAACTTTGCTGAAAGGTGAAGATTACTCTTCGTTGACTGGACTTGTGTCTATTTACCACGATTTAGAACACTGAAGGGGTGCCTTAGACGGGTGATTGCCAATTGTCGTGTTCATCTTCAAGAAGAATTGGCGTACTTTGTGCGAAAATAACTTTTGCCTCTCACGGGTATCATTCTTCAACGATTTGCTGTTCCGTATGGGCCGAATTACTAAAAGCCATGCTCACTTCTGCCCTGGTCATTGTTGTATCGATCAGACATTTACTCTTTTGGCAAGCGTTAGAGCATGCACGCTTCTACAAACGACAGAGTATGGTGGTTTTCCTTGACTTGAAAACCATCTTCGATTCCGCTGACTGCCTCAACTTGTGGCACTGCGTATAATAAAGAATAATAATAATAATAATAATATATCAGCTGTACGCCGTAACGGCGCTTCGCTGCCGCGCGACCACCACCAGTCACGCGCGGAATGAGTATACCGCGAGGATGCCCACCCCTACGCGGATTCGAACCGGTGACCTTATGGTTGCAAACCAAACGTGCAGACCACTCGGCCACCGGCCGACGCATCAAAGTAAGGAACAGAATGGTAGGGAGATATATGTATACACCTCCCTACCATTCTGCACGGCATATCTATGAAGGGCGTGTCGTTTAAATTTCTTTTTATTAGGCAATCTCTCCACGGTGACTCCCGAGGACGTGTTAAGGACAAGGGGAACTGTCTCCTGAGTTCCCCCCGACTAGTGGCGTTCACCACGGTTGTCCAATATCTCCTTCTCTCCCCAACTTTGTGATCGAAAAAGTTATGAATGACTCTACCGGAGTAGACGATCTGCCAGGTGACCATCTAATAAAGATTGAGTGTGTGGACAACGATGATCAAAGACTTGAAGGTGCCTCAGATTTGCAGATCGAAGGGGCCAAATCTCACTATATTAGAGCAGAACGACCCTCACTGTGGCTTTGTATACATGGCTTTTCAGACGGAGGGAAACTCCCTTCTGTCGCCAAATATGCCGCAGGTTCAAGAAGGCAGCCCTGGCCTTTGCAATGCGTGAGCTGACGCCAGTTTCTATGCGCCCATCGTTGCTGATGCAGCTGCCAAGATAAGTGAATTGATCAACCACCTCGAGTTCCTCATTAGCAAGCGTCAAGGGGTCATCAAGTGGCTGGTGGTCCTGCAGCAACACTTTGCACTTTGAAGGTGCGAAGTGCATACCAAATAATGGGACCACTTTAGACAGACTATTCAGGGTTGATTGTGCCGCCCCCACATCGTCCAAAAGCAAGACGATATCGTCCGCATAATCTAGATCAACTAATCTTTCAATAACAGCATTTTAACGCCTACATCGTGAGATTCCGTCAGGGAACACTCCATGAAAGAGTCCACGACGAAATTGAACAAAAATGGGGACATCGGACAACCCTGACGAACGCCACTTGTAGTCGGAAAGCTATCCGATAGGTCACCGTAGACCTTGACGCGGCCTGTAGTGTTCGAGTATAAAGCACGAAGGATGTTCACATATTTCGTGGGAACACCTTTCCGCGCAAATATTTCGAACAGAATCGATCGATTGACTGAATCGAAGGCACTCGTGAAATCGAGGAACACAGCTATTGTCGGTCTGTGGTATGCGTGGCGCTGCTCCAGAACCTGCCGCAAATTGAATAAATGGTCTATACAGCCACGTCCTGGGCGGAAACCGGCCTGCTTTTCCCTAATCCGACATTCCCGTTCCGTAGTGAGGCGACGGACGAGAATCGAGGCCAGTAATTTCGTCACAACTGGCGTTAAACTAATACCGCCTGTGGTTAGAACATTCCGTGCGACTGCCCTTCTTGTATATTACCACTATAACCGATTCGCTCCAATCAGCCAGGACACTCTCTTCGTTCCAGATACGTCTGAATAGGGAGGTCTGTGTTTGGCAGAGGACCTCACCTCCATCCTTAAATAGTTCAGGTGGGAGGGAATCCGGGCCAGCGGCACGAAAACGATTGATTGCTGTGATCGCGTTTCGGACCTCGGACTCCGACGGAGGCTGTAAACTACCTGCCCATGGCTCGTCCTGCATCACCTGAGTAGGAAAAGGTTCGGGAACAGGGGGCCAGCTGAATTGATCTTAAAAGTGTTCCGCCCAACGAGCCATACGGCGCTCCTTATCGTGTATCAGTGCACCCGCGCGGTCTCTGATTGTCTCACTGACGCCTGGTTTTCTGGGACCAGTGGTGCGGATTAGCTGGAAGAGCTTGTGGTAATTGCCTACTGCTCCTGCCTTCTCCATTTCTTGAGTCCTACTGGTCCACCAGGCTTCCTTGTCAGCACGTAGGCTCCGTTTTAGTTCACGCCTAATAGCCCGTCTGGCAACATTGTGTTCAGAGTCAGCCGGGAGGTTTCTTCTAGATCCCAGCAGGTTCACCGACCTCTCGGATATCGAGTGACTTGCGGTGACGATGCATAGTGCCACAAGCAGATGCTCCTGCGTCGTGCATGGCGGCCGAGATCCTATTCCACTGAAGCTCAGTGTGATTAGGACAAGACAGCGAAAGTTCGGTACGCAGTGCGCATTGATAGGCTTGCCTGAGACTTCCTCAGTTGCCAATCCGGAGGGGACGCTTGGTGCGCCTCCCGGTAAAGTTCATGGAAAAAAGACAGCGTAGTAAGGCATGATCAGAGTCGACGCAGGTATTCCAGTACAAGCGGTAATCAAGGATGGAACCACGCCACCTGTAACCTATGGCTATGTGGTCAATTTGGGTCCATCGCTGGCCAGCTACAGGAGGACGCCAAGTAGCATTTCGGCGCCTACTGTGTCTAAAAGCAGTGCTACTAAGAAACAACTGGTGCTCCGCACACAGTTGCAGCAGACACTCACCGTTGTCAGTCCGTTCGGAGTTAAGGCCATAATTACCACCCAGCTGAGCTTTTGAAGAGCTCATACGCCCAATTGTGCGTTCATATCCCCTGCAAGTATTAGAATATCTGAACTAGTAGCACTGTGTAGTAGCGAGTTCGGTTCGTGATAGGACGTGTCCTTGACAACATCTGAACTGCAGTCGGTAGGAGCATAAACGGAAATCACAAACAAACAGCGTTTTGTATTGCTTCGTGAATCAACCTTGGCTGATGTCGTCAAACAGGCTGCACATAAACGGCTGTTCACCGGAATCCAATCAATCAGCGATGGCTCAGCCTTGGAGCTGAGTAGTATACCTACCCCAGCTTGATCCGTGAGTGCAGCATCGGCGTCTCCGGATGCGTGCAACCAATAACGAGAGGATAGGTGCAGTTAATGCAACAACCCAGTTAGGGTCATTGATCCTAGTTTCGGACACACAACACACATCAATACCCAGTGTATCCAAGGTGTGTGCGAGTGCAGCCGGTTGACCTATTTATCTTAGAGTGCGAACGTTGAATGTCGCCATGGAAACGGGATAGCGTGGCCTTATAAGGGACGTTTGCTGATAGGCGTCCGATAGGTGCTGTGGGATGATGGCTGCAGATGATTCTACTGCAGTGGTACTTCGGTTGCTGTCAATTAAACTGGGAATTATAGAAGGAAGGTTAGTAATGGGGGTCGACATGGGAGTAAGAAAAACAGGTGGAAAAGAAAGAAGGGAGGCGCCACAAGTAGCATGTTTTCGCTTATCCGCCCTGCTGTATGCAGCAGATAAGGCGACCCTTGATAATCTGAGCGACGGCCGATGCAGGATGATGTTAAAAGAAAATGTCATGGTTGTATGTGGGCTGAGATACTACCAGGGCGCTCAGACCTAGACAGGAGAACGATTAGGGTCCTCATCCAAAGCCTCTGGCTCAAAAGCCTGACAGCAAGGCAACGGAGGGGTGGCAATGATTTAGTTTCACAGAAATGGACGCCGTCCCATTTCAAATCCCCAACCTGGAGGATCAGGAGACTGAGTTTGTCTGACCTCTCACCACTGACCAAGATGGTAGGAGCAGCTCTCAAGGTGCCCGGAAGCATCACCCAGTATAGCTCAATGGGTCAAGGAGGTACGCAAACCGT